CTGCATGCTTTTTTCTATGGAAACCTGTTTTCAGAGTGTAATGGTTTGGGGAAAAAAACCACAAACAACAGAACAAAACCACTGCTATATGGTCAGGTGAGCCAAGGATACGTTTTCTTGTGCTGCTGTGATCCCAGTGGCACTGAGATCATTCTGGTTAGGTGTAAATGTATTGGAGGTATCATCCCATAAGGTTCACCTGAAATTGGGGTATGTGTTCAGGAGGAGCTGCATCACTCCCAAGCCAGACTTCAGCCTCCTCATCTTAGCTGCCCTAGTGACTGAGCTAGTGGCAGAGCTGCTGCTTCTTACCTTGAATCATGATGTACTTAGGTACGTGTGTCTCCTTTGTCTGTGCTAGATGTCATTTTTTGTGGGAGTCTGGATAAATATTTCAATCTGTAGGAGTTCAGGAGAGCTAGGTATCACCTAGCAACAAGCATCCCACTCTCTGCCTCCTGCTTTTCTTTACTTCTGTTAAAATATCTGAAAACTAGGAGTTGAAGCATTAAGTTAATTTTCTGATATATTTTGAGCACTTCAAGTATTTTGTTATGATGTTACAGGAGAGGATGAAAGATGTTGGTGAGGGGCTGGCCTCTTGAAGCAATAACTGCCTTGTCTGAACAGTAATCACAAAGACTAGCAAAAACTTTAGCTGGGGACAGAATAACCCTTATAATTGCAGTTGTTAAATGAGTAACAGAACTCATAGCAAGTGATCCTTTGGTCCTGTGAGGTCTATAAAATATGTAGCAGTTACATTTAACCTAAACGGAGTGTGTTTTAGGCTGTATTACCTGGTTCGTCTTGCAGCTTGTGAGGGCTGCTGGTGGGACAGCCTTATGTTGGAATTTAAAATTTTTAAGCTTTTTTTTACAGACAACTTTGTGGCAAAGTGCACTGGCTAGTTTCAGTTTCAGTAGTACATGGCAGTCAGTTTTCAAAGATCCTAGGGAGTAGACCCAGGTCTGGAAAGGTAGGCACTTTAGGTACAGTTTGGCATGTGGTAATTCAGTGCAGTCCTGCATTAAATTTCAGCATCTCCTGTACCTTATCAATTTTAAATGTCAAGGACTGTTGTGGATCTGTAGCTAGTGGTTCATGCATCTTTTATCTGTAACTTCTGCAGAATGTACACTCTATAGAGTTTACAAATTTCCTGGCAAAAAATCAGGAACTTGGAGAAAAAGGACAAGTATGTGTCTACTATTATTATAAATAAGGTAGCTTTCCTCAACACTGGGTTGAGGATAACCTGTGTTCCTTCGTCTCTGAATGGTGCTGAAACTGTGCTTTCAGTGATCCTGCCTTACCTGGTGGTCAGGGTGGTCTTTGTGAGTTTGGGAAAAGTCATGCTCTGTCTTCAGGAGAGTTTGGTGTGACTCAGGGCCTTTGAAAGGGATTGCAGAAGTCAAAAGGCAGATGTAAGGGCGTTCAAGGAGAAAAGTGCATACTTTGAAAGTAAAATAAATGATGTAAGAAGGTGACTAAGAAACACGGTTATGCTCAAATAAGGGGTTTGTTTTGTAGAGATAAAAGGTAATAAATCCTGATTCAGCAAATGACTTTAGCTTTGGAAATGAGTTGATCTTTTCCAAATGTATGTTCTCATGTCTATCTGAATTAGAAAAGGGTAAAAATAGCACAAGGATTAATTTGTAACTATGTTAACTTGAATTACTTTAAAATTATCAGTATGTAAAAGAGAAGTGAAAGTGATACCAGTGTGGACTTGTTTTTTAAATGAGCTAATACGGGTTTATATGTTCAGAAATGTTTTGTTTGTAGAGGTATGGGTAACTACGCACATAGGGGCCTCTATTTTTCTAGAAATATGCTCAGCATGACTGTCTCAAAACTTTTCGTATATGGTCCATAAGTCTTGCTCAGCTCTGCCAGCAGATGGGCATGGTGGTCAGGGTGGGACTCTCAGGACATTTAATCTGAATAAGACAGGTTTTCAAAATGGACTAGGTGTTGAAATTTATTTGGTTTTCTCTTGCTCTAGGAGAAGGAGTCTAATGTTTGGTGGCATTCATAAGCTTTATAAACTCCTGGGGTCTGAAAACACTATTTTAAGGTAATGGTTAGTCTTTGGCTGGCAGTGGACATAATTCTGTGTTTGCTACTTAAATTTCATTCTTTTGGTTGAAACTGGTGATTTGTTAGACACTTTGTTCAGTGATTATTAAAGACCCTTTTTGACCTAAAGATTCTTAATTGGCAATATTGTGTAGTTGTCTCATTGGGTAGATTTTCTTCTAGTATAAAACCTGCTTGATGCAAAGAGAAAGTGCTTCAATTTGTACTTTCAGTGTCTGCTTTCATATTTCTGGTAGTAGGAACTGAGTTTTCACAGTAAAATACTGAAAACCAAAGTCCAAAGCAGGTTTCATGGTGGTGACACACGTTACAGAATGGGTGCACTAGATCTGTAAGGATGGATGGTCCTGTTTTTCATATGCATTTCAAAGTCCTTTCATCTGAAGTTGAAGCTTTTCCACTCTTCTGAAAATCAGGTCACAGATTTGCAAATTACTAGTTAACCATAATTTTCAGATGAATGGTTTGCTCTTAAACTTAGGCTCTTCTAGCTTCACAGCCTTTCTGGAGAGGTGAGTGCCCCATGGGGCAAGGATTTTGGAAATTCTGTGCTAATTTATGCAGACCTGAAGAGAGGAAATAAGAAAACCCAATTGCTATCGAAGTAGCTTTACCATGAGGAGGTGTGTTGGCCATGATTTAATAATTCAAAACCAGCTGCAGCTGTGGCTGGTTGGATAGTGGTTTGTTAGCAGTTCTGAAACACACACCCATGTTTGCTGTGTCACCATAGCCACTGTAACATAATAGGACCTCGGCGCTGGTGTGTAACTTGAAGCTAAGTTGTGTTGTAGGAGCATGTGTGTCTGTGTGCATGGAGAGAGGAGTAATGATAAGAAAACCCGGAGAACTGGAAACAATTACAGGTCAAACTCTGTGTTCCTCTCATGGAGGCTCCATGAAGCTTTTGGATACATTATATTTCATTTAAAAAACCCTTGATGACTAAGTAATTTCCTGTTCAGGTTAGTTGACCACATCATAAAAGTTGAGGATGTGGAAAATCTGGTCCAGTTGTCCCATTTTTGGACATGAGCAAAGAGAAAAGAGCAACTAGAAACTCAAAGGTTGTTCTTTAATTAAAAACAAATTAAAAGAGAAAACGCTGATGATAATAATGAAGATCTGTTTCATGAAAATTTTGAAGTAATCCAAGTAATGGCAAGAGAGATGAAATAACAAAAGGGAAGGACAGTCTACAAGATTCAGGAGAGACGGAGCAAATGGTCTACATCAGTTAGCATGCTCTCAGCCTCTACGGTCTTTAGTTACATTTGGTTAGGTCAGTGTTTATGGTGATTTTGCAGCCTTCTATGATTCATACAAATATTTGGAACTTACTTTTTTCTATTAAATGTAGTATTTTCTTAGAAATAAAATTTAAGTATGTAGTGTTAGTATGATAGTAGCACAGTATATGAATGGACTATTTTTATGATCTTATGAAAGCTTCTTGTCTTGTTTTCAGTGTAAAAGTTTGTGTAGTGTTTGGAAACCTGTCATGTTGTCATATATACAACAGTAATAAAATACTAAAATGTGGTTTAAAATCAGGCAGGTGATACTCTACTGCTGTTTGAAGGATAACCTTATTTTGAGTTATATAAAAATAACAGCAGATTGTTTATAATAACTCTGACTGCAGATTTAGATTCTTGACTTCACACCATTTCCATTATTAAAAGAGACATATGTAAGTAGCATTTGCTTCCAGATACATGCACATATTCTAATAAGAGGTTTAAGGGCATACTGTCTATTGTTTAAATTTTTGACATCTGAAGCTCTCACCACCACTCCACACACACCCCCCCATCCCAAACCCCAAGGCTTTTAAAAAAATTTGGACTAATGGATGTGTATATTTTCTTAAACCTGAAGGAGCCTCCCAAAACTATAGTATAGTATTTAAATCTCTATATGCTTTCTCTTTTATAGATTAATATAAAATCATGGAATGATTTGAGTTGGAAGGTACCTTCAAGATCATTTAGTTCCAACCTTGCTGCCATGCACAGGGATGTCACCTACTAGGCCAGATCGCTCAAATCTCCATCCAGCCTGACCTTGAACACTTCACGGAGGGGTCATCCGAAACTTGTCTGGGCAAACTGTTCCAGTGCCTCACCACCCTCTGAGTAAAGAATTTCTTCCTAACATCTAATCTAAATCTCTCCTTGTTTAGTTTGAAACCTTGTCCTGTGCTATGTGCACTTGTGAAAAGTTCCTCTCCAGCTTTCTTGTACCCCCCCTTAGGTACTGGAAGGCTGCTGTAAAGTCTCCCCAGAGCCTTCTCTTCTCCGGGTTGAACAATACCACCTCTCTCAGCCTGTCTTCATAGGAGAGGTGCTCCAGCACTCTGCTTTTGTGGCCCTCATAACTAAACTAATCATGTATCTGTATGAAACCTTGAAAGAAATACATAATCAAATTTTGTAATGGTCTTGGACTTCGTGTTATTGGTCAGATCTTGCATAGTATTTCTGTGAAATACAGTTTGAAAAACTAGCAGTGTTTGCACTCAGTAACTGCTGAAGAGTTTATCTTTACAAATGCAGGGTACTGATACGTAACGGGCTTTGAAGACTAATTAAAGGAGTTGGGATTTAGCATGCTCAAGTAGCAGCACGGAATTTAAAGACACTTGGAACTTTGACTAAAATCATGAGCTAAGAGGAAGCATAAGGCTTTCTACAGTATACTTTTTTTTTGGTCATATTTATCCAGTTTTGTTTAAAGTGCTTATAAATTTACTGTCCTTCTGACCTCTGTTTTACTATGGAACAGGTGTCTGTGGTTAGATTTTTTTTATTTACTTATACAATAATATTTGAGAAATTAATGAACTTCTAAGAAAATACATCAGTTAAATTATTTAATATTTTCTGTTTTAGGATTGAAGTGGATCTTGGGACAAATGGATGACTGAATATTCATATGAAGAGGAAAGCCATAAAAGTTGGTTGACATTTTTATAGCCATATGCGTTATACGTATTAATGCTATCATCAAATTTTTATATTGTGTTATAAAAAACAGATTAAATAAATAGTCTGAGCTTCATATGCTGTATTGTCTTTCAGGTGGGGGAATACTATAGCTTAACAGCTGGAGCTTAAGGCAGTGTTTTCTGTCAATACCTGAATGCTCAGAGGAAAACCTGGTAGTGAGTTAAGGAAATAGGTAATTCCTTTGAAGCCAGGTGTTTCAGTTTGCTGATACATAGTGGTATTCATTATTCTTATGTGCCAGGATGAAGGGAGAAGGAGAGAGGTGTTGTCTTCCATTAGAGCTACTGACTGTGAAGCTCAATATGTTGTGGAGTGGCACTCAGTTGCCACATTGACAGATGCTCTTCAAGAAGCCAAACAAGACATGATCTCTTTGAAAGAATCTTGGTGCTTTGTTTTCTTGTGATAGAGAGAAGGCTGTTTTACATCATGCATTTTCTGCGCTAGTTAAAAAGGAAGAAGCTGTTAGTGGACCTCCATGCTTTACTGACTTTCGGCTTTGAAGTTGATAAATATACTAAGCCTTGACATCCGCCAATTTGAATTGTTGGTGACTGTGAAGGATAGACTTTGGCTGGGATGCTACATTAACCAGTTCCTGCCAAGGCTGTTTAAACACAGCTGATGCTGCCTGTGGGTTTGCACCGGAGCAAATGAGTTGTAATGACAAATGCAGGGTATGGTACAGAGGAATGTAGGGCATGGTCCAGCAGGATGCTGCACAGCAGCTCGCTTAAATAAGGCTTTATGAAAACTCTGCTAGTCAAGGAGGGATATGTTGTTGTGGCAGACCTATTTCCTAGAGAGCTTCTATCAACCCCTGGATCCCAGTCAGGGGGATCAAAAAAACAGCAAAAGCTCCAGATTTTTTTTTTTTTTTTTTTTTTAAACAGAGGATTAGTTCAGTACAAGAAGTGTAAGTCTGTAGTTCTGTTAACTTAGCAAAGTAATTCAGGAGGACAGATTCTTACTTCTCTCAGTGATAATTTGGTTTTATCAATCTTATAGTGGTTCTGAAGTTTTCCAGTTTATGAACAACTGGCTTGGATACAGAAAAGTTATATTCCTTCTCTGGTAAACGTCTTTGGTGTTCACAACAGGTAGTAGACATGCTGATTGCAGTGACCTCCAAATTCACAAGCAGCATGAGACTTGGAGGGAGTCATCTGTGTCCTTGAATCCAGTCTCCTAAAATAACAGCCAGTGAAATAATCTTTAGTTCAGAAGCATCCATATAACATCTGCTTTATATACTGCAGGTCACTAAAAACACCTCTAGCTTCCCAGAGCCAAATTTAAACCCTAATAGAGACAAAGTGGTACTAGTAGCTGTGCAGTAATGTACACAATTTTTTCCATAGGGTCAGGGGTCCATATGGCCACATATGAGCCAGCAGTTGTTGCCTGCTAAAATCAGCGCACAAAATCTTGAGGAATTTCTCTTTGGTTAGACTGCTGATGTGTCAGCGGCTGCTGTCCATGCTGATGTCTAATAGCTTGAGATGGGCTTGCATCATGATAGAGCAAGATGTCTTGTCTGTGAATAGCAGAGTGAAACACTGATACCATCCAAACCTTACATCTAGAACTGCAGTCATAAAATCCTGTATGTACAAACTCGAGAAGGCACTTTGCTGGCAGAAGGTGCAAGAGGATGAAAAATACCAAACTAATTATCTGTAATCTATCTCTGGACATCATTACGTTACAGTGGACAACTCATGCTGTCCAGAAGACAGCACAAAGCAGTACTGCCATAGCGTGGTAATGTTTTGCATTGAATTGAGAAGAAGCTGGGCCAGACTATGTCTTAGATATTTGGTTTGGGAAGTGACACCAGGGCAGAAAAAGTTAAGAATTTGTCAGAGTCTTGAGAGGGGCTGTTGTACCCAGAGTCTGTGCAGAGGAGGAAGGGCTTCCAGATAAGGCAAACGTAAAAAGCTCTTGGACTCATGATGATGACTTTTTGGCAAATTCCTTGTGAAAGAGTGCAATTGCATGAGAGATGTATCGCTGTTAGCTCTGTATCTCTGTTCTGCTCTCTGTTTTTGCTTTTCTGGTTCAACACGGAGTGGTAGCATAAGGAAGGAGGAATGGGAGAACAGGGTGACCTCTTTCTTGTCAAGCCATAGTTCCACTCTCTCATGCCCTTCTGATGACATCCCACAATAATCATGGGGAAGCTGCTCAAAATATGTGCAGATAAGGAAAGGGATACTGAGTTACTTCTTTACATTTTTTCTATTTGGCAGTCTTTGCAAATGCAGGGCTCTGAATACAGCTGTTAATCTTTTATATTAGGAAAGTACCATAATTAAATCATATCACCAAATGAGAAGAAAAATGTGGTTTTGTGGAGGCATTCAAAGTCTGAGGCTAAAAATTCCTTTTCTGGGAAGAATGGTTACAGAAAGCTTAAGCAATAGAGGTGGAGAGGGCTTCTCTGTGGTCACTGTTAAGATCAGTAGATAAAGTTCTTGCTCCAATAGGAAAGAGATTGAATTTTGGCCAGCATCCTGCCTCAGCCTTTCACTTTATAGCTGCTTTACAAGATTTGAAAGCTTTCCATTGCTAACATGAGTATGTTGGTGTGTCATTGGGAGTGTAAACAACTTGATTTGCACTGTCTGTATGTTACAGTGGTATATTTTAGATGTCCTTGGTCTGCCTTGGACCCTATTGTAATATAGGTAAATGTGGTGTTGTATAAATGTGACATCTAAGCGTATATGCAACTAATGAAGGAAATATGAACATAATTTTTTCTGTCTCCTAAAATGAGGTTAGTTGAAAAATGAGAAATATGCCAAAATAAACCTGAAAGCGTACAGGTGTACTGAATGCACGCAGCTTACGATGCTTCTGCATATTCCATAATACTTAATTATACCCAGAGGTTAATTTCTCTGTTGAATCTGGTATTTAAAGTCTGTTCTTCAGGCTTGAATTGTGTGTATGGAGACAGACATACCAGGAGTACTCGTTCTGGGTAGGAGCTGGTAGGGAAGTGGGTAACTGGCAGAGAACTGTAGCTCAAAGGTTCTGGGAAAAATTAAGATCAAGGCTTCAATCCAGAACCAAGTAAGCAGGATTGAAAGGAGGTTGGAGAGCAAAATTAAAGGGGAAAAAAAGGTTGTTCAGATTGGAAAAGCAGATCTGGTTGGTACTTAACAGGTGGCCTTGGGTGCAGTCACACCACTGAAACTGTGGTTTCATGAGTAGCTTCTAGAAATAACACTGGGAAGTTCATTTGATCAGGCTCAATGATGTTCTAAGTCACTGAATGCTGAAAAAATTATAAACACTGAATTCAGTGGTGGTAGGAGGTGAGGGCTAATTTTCTATCTGATAAGCCTGTGAAGTATTGCTGTGTCACAAATGTTGCAACCTGTGTGTCATTTCTTAAAAGAAAAACAAAAGAACCATCCAAGAGCAAACTTTAGCTCAGCTGTTTAGTGGGAGGGACTCTATACAAGGGGGTGTTTCTTGATCTCTCCAGAGCTCACCCTGTCTCAGCAGTCTCCCAGCCTCTGATGTGCCCTTGCTTCACTTTCTCTCTCCTGTGTGGAGCTGTACATGGGGGGGTGCAGGACCCCTGTGCTGCTGGTTGTGTGCCTGGTGCTGCAGGATGGTGCCCAGCCGACATAGTGAGGGCAGGCCTGCTGCTCAGGGTGACCTCTTCAGGTTGGAGAAATGAGCTGGCAGGGTCCTCCCCAAGTTCAGCAAAGGGGGAGGAATAACCCCATTGCTCCACTGCAGGCTGAGCAAGCCCCTGGATCCTCTGATTGGAGGAAGAGCTACCCTGGTTTTCTGTGGAGTTTGAATTCATTGGACTTTCAGCCTTTTTCATGATTTTAAAATTTGGTCATTATAAAAATTACTTTTTTTAAAATGTATTTGAAAGTGTTTTGAGGAAGTTTTATGTCTTTATTTGCTTGCATAGGCAGAATATCGGTAACAGTATGGTTATATGTTTGGTTTTTCTTGTAAGTTTCCCTCTCTGTATTACAAACAAATGCATTACATACAAATCTTTTTTTCTAGAAAAAAAGTGACTGCTCTTACGTGGTCTTTCATGTTTAGCATTATTCACTGGATTCTTGGAATATAATTATGACTGGAAGCATCAACATGATAAAATATATTAATCACAAGGGAATTATTTTGCACAGGCCATCAATCTATTTTTCTGTCATGTGCTTTTCAGTTTAGATTACTCTCAGGCAAAGAGGCTGTAGTGTGATGTTTTTTCTCAATTCATTATGATTATAAATTTGCTGGATAAAACAGTGTAACAAATGACCACTTAAAATGACTGGTTCCATTCAGCAAGGCTGGGGGGACTGTGAAGTTGTTTTGGTTTCATCTCTTATCTAGCATTTGTCAAGATGGGTCCCTTAACAGTCAATTGGTGGTTGATTTTTAATGAGTATTTCACAATGTAAATAGATAGCAGGCAGTTTGTTGTCTGGAGCTTAGTCATATTCGTAGGACAGGTCTGCTTTTACTTGCTGCCACTGAAAAATGTAGAAGTTACAGTGAAACTGTAGAGTGGGAGGAAAGCTTTTCCTCAAACCTTATATTAAGGAAAGGAGGAACAGCAGAGGTTTTCTTTCTTCTGTTCCTTACATCAGCTGCCACATACTGTGCTGTCACTTGCTCCCATTGGGAGCAAGTCTTTTTCCATTGGATGCTGGAGGGCTGTGCACTGTTAGCCCCCAGGTTTGGTCGCTGTCAGCTCAGCCCTGCTGGGAGTGGGATGGGGTGAATTTGGAACTGATCCCCATGGCTGAAAAATTGCTGAGGTCATTTCCGACACTGATGTTTTCCAAAGAGAAGGCAGCATTTAAGATGCCTGCAACAAACCACTTCAGCTTGATATGTTTGAATATAAGTTTGTTCCTGTTCCCTTTGCCTTTGTAAAGTTATGGAATGATTTCTGGAAAG